ACTGCTGGCTGTAGCACCGCCCTCCGGCTGGGGCCACCTCCAGGGCGCTGGTGTCCCCTCACCATGATTAAGACTTGTCTAGGCGGGAACACGCTGGGTTTTGACTTGTTATTTCCCCCTGTTAAACGAACACTACTTTGGCGACTCTCGAGAGTTATCCCAGGTGTTCGGGAAGGTTAAAGCCGCTGCCAGCTTCGCTGGAGACTTGGGTTAATTTGCAAAACCTCCACTTACTTCTGCGAGCAGCAACTCTGCGGGCGCTCCTGCTTTGCAAAGCTTGGGATTTCTCTCTTCCCTTTTTAATTGAAAAAATATATTTATTAAAAAAATAAAAATAAACGCTATCTTTACTAGAGGAGGAGGCATAGCGAGCCGCGGTGGTGCCGCACCGGGGGGCGGGGCCGGAGCGTCACGTGGCGCGGGGCTTCCTTTCTCTGTGCGCCTCTCTTTCCTTCCTCGGTCGCCATCTTGTTCACACCGCGTGTTGGGCTGCGGAGGGGCAGCAGGTGAGAGCGTCCCTGCACCCCCCGTCCCGCTCCGCCCAGGCCCCTTTCGTCCTTCCGGGCGCGCGGCGCCCTCCGGTCGTGCCGTGAGGGAGCGGCTGGCGCCGCGGTTCGGCCTGGCCGCTTCTATCCCCCCTTCCTCGGCCGCCCAGGGAGCGGGGCCTCTTTCCCGCGCCGTGCGGGGTGGCAGCGAGCGGCCCCGTGGGCCTTTGTCCCGCCGCCCTGTGCGCTGGAGGGCCCCGGCGCGGCCTCCTTCCCGTCCTGTTCGAGGCGCGAGTCTCGTCGTCCGGGGGGTGCCGGTGGCGTCTCGCAGCGCAGGAGGCGGGAGGTGCTGTGTGCCCGGCCGGGCCCCTGGAGGGTTATGGGGACCCCCTTGGCCGACTTCCCACCAACTGAACCGAGTGTGGAGCCCATGGCTGAGGTGCTGGAAGTCCCTGAAGGAGACCCGCTCATACGTGAGCTGCAGCTAGTCTGAAGCTGACTTGTGTGCTTAAAATATTAGTGTGTATTTTTTGGAAGTCGTATTAAGGTAGATTAATTAAGATTCTCTCTGGACTTTGGTAAAGGAAGATGAAGATATCTTTCTTTATTTGCCTTTTTTTTTTTCCTTTGTGCTCTGTGTGCTGCTTGGGGTCAGTTCTGAGCAATTCAGGCTGCTCAGCCAGTGCCAACAGTGAAATGATACGCTTGCCAATTAACTGTTGTTTTTTTTTTTTTTTTTTTGCCAAAATTGCTGCAAACCTGAATTTCCTGGTAATCTGCTTCATAATAATGTAGACACTTGGGCTGAATGCACTAATGCTTTGTTGTTGTCTAGGTGGTATGGTTTTAAAGCTTTTTGTTTGCCATGTATTTGTTTGCACTGGTTTGGAGAACTTCCTATAGTGTTTTTTTTGGAGGGAGGGAGGGAGCAGGGGGGATTTTTTTTCCTTCCTTTTTTTTAAAAAAAAAAAAAAACCTGCATTTTTAACTGTATTTCTAGAATGGGTTGTGCAGACTATCCTTTTTAATGTTTCGTTAATTAGTTTGTAATTATATCTCATTTTTTAGGAACAGCACTATGAATCAAGAAAAACTTGCCAAGCTCCAAGCTCAGGTCCGAATAGGAGGAAAGGTAAGAAAAACACAAAATACCCAGAAAGCTGAGCTTTTTTCCTGTAGTTTATGTTTTGAAGGTGAAAATTCTCTGAAACATATTTTCTAAAATATATACTTAATTTTATAGAAAATCTAATCTAAGTATACTTTAGAGGCCTAAAATATGATTCCGTTATGATGGGGATCATAGTACTGGTAGCTACAATGTGTTTTTCTCTCAGGTCACCATCATTGAATATGCAGTTTTTAGTGTGTGCTTTCTTTTTAATTTGGAGTTCGACTGTGATCTCTAGTAGCTCAGGGTGAGCTTACTTGCTGTTCTTCCTTTGTATTGGAAACCTTTCGGGAAGTTACAATCCTTCCTTCCTTGGCAGCTCCAGGGCTTGCCTAACTCTACACTGAGCTGATTTTTCCTGTCCAGTAGGTAGCTGCAGAGTAGGTAGCTAGTAATATGACAGCAAAAACGTATACCTAGCACAGTGTTGGTATTTATCTTCTAACTGTAGGTGTGGGGGGGTTTTGGTTTGTTTGTTTTTCCTCTTTTTTCATACAAAGTTGGTAAAGTAGAGATTATGTAAATTCTGTCAGTTTAGTTAAAAGAGTTTACTTGGTAATAAAATCTTGAACTCTTTAAATTACTGCATTTGTGCTTCATCTTTGGGTGGGGGCAGGCAAAAAGAGGTAAGAAGCTCTAAGGAAGTGCTCTTATACATTGCTTACTAGTATTAGTCTTACAGTTCACTTTGTAGGAAAGTACTGAAATGGATCAGTGTCATTTGTCTTAGAGTTAAAAAAGAAAACTTGAAATTGAGGTTGACTTCTCAACTGTAGGTGATGGAAAAGAATCATTTTTGATTGTAGACTTTAAAGAGGCATTGCATCAAGTGTGGTGTGACTTAAAATTGAGATGTAATGAGATTAAGCATTACTGATTTTTGTCCCTTGATTCTTTTCCAGGGAACAGCTCGCAGAAAGAAGAAGGTGGTGCACAGAACGGCAACAGCTGATGACAAAAAACTTCAGAGTTCCCTCAAAAAACTGGCTGTAAATAACATTGCTGGCATTGAAGAGGTATAGTGATAAAATGTTTTCTCTGTGAATTCACTGCTGTGGTGTTCTTTTTGTTGGTGGTTGTGTTTATTTTAACAACACATTTCTCTCCCCCTGAAAGTCATAGGTCTGATTGCTGAAATAGTAAGCAATGTCAGAGTCTTATGCTGGAATGGTTGTGTTGACAATAGTGAAGTGATTGCTCTATCTCAGCTACCTCAGTGCATAAATACCTAGATGATGGAGAAGTTTCTGCTGGCCACATAGTGATGATGAAAGCTAGTAAGCTATTTGATATGTATATATATCTTGCATTAACTGCAGAATCGAACTTCTCATGATTCTTGACTTATTGAACTTCAGAACTTCATTGAAGAGCTGCAAACACTTGTTTACTGTGCGTACCCTTTTAAAGCAAGAATCATGTGGTACTAAATGCAAAGTGCCTGAAGAAAGTGCTAGCTACTCTGTATTATCAAATGTAATTCTTTTTACTGCTTGTAAATGAACCAGAATTGTTTGCAGTAGTCACAAGAGACTCTGACATTTTTGCAGCACTGGAAAAGACTCTTAAGGAAATGACTCCTCTGTTGCATAAAGAGAAGTGGAAAGTTTTCAGATATGCCTGGAATATCTCTTCATTTTTGTGTGTATACATATTTTAGCATAAAATATGATTTGGAACACACTGACATTTTTCATACCAGTGAAAATGTGAAACTAATATGTGGGAGGAGAAAGTGTTCCTTCATCATGAACTAAATGTTACTGTAGTGCTCATTAAGCAAGTACAATATTTAATCTGTGATTAATTGATTTAAGCAGGGTTGGAAGTTGCCTCCAGAGGTCACTTAGTGTATACCTCTCTCCCAAAGGCAAATACAAATTCAGAGTAGAAGCCTGGTTTGCCTGTAAGTTTTCATATCTCTGCTACAGAAGCATTATAATTTGTCTGTTTACTTAAACATGATGATGTATATGCTGTGCTACACAAATGTAAAAAGCAGTTCTCTTTTTTTCATCTTAATCCCCCTTCCCCCTCTTCACTGATCATAAGATCTTTATGTGAAGTTAGTAAGATGTGAAGTGTCGTAGTGTCGAGGAAGATTATCCAAAATGCATTTAGCTTAATCATTAGGTCCATAATTCCTGTAATTCATGTAGACTCATGTTGACCTTGGTAAACTTTGTCTCAGTAGAACAACTTGATTACTAATATTGAGTCAAACATAGTAGCTCATATGTAGGTTGTTCCCCCCACTTCCCCCCCTCCTTTTTTTTTTTTTTTTTTTTTTTTTAACTAGTAGCTCTCGTAAAGAGCCTTCTAAATAGAGGGATGATTGTGCCTTTGTGCCTGAAGCCTTTACCATTTCCTGTTGTGCAAGGGGAAGGGCATCCTTCAGTTTTACAGGAGGACAACACACTTGATTTTCCAGTTTGAAATCTATTTTGAATTGTCCTGCTATGTGAAGATAGATAACTTAAGCATTTGCATGTTTTAGTTTCGGCTTTTGTCCTCAAATTTCTTCTCTTTCTGTAATTTATACTAAAACAAATGAAATTTGTCAGAACTGCACCCCCCCCTCTTTTTTTTTTATTTTTAAGTATTACATCTGCTGCTTGGTTGAAGGACTCTTCTTGTTTTCTTAATTCGGTTAAAAGGATTTTTCTTCAGTTAAAGTTAACTTTTCTTTCTTCCTTTAACTTAACAAATGCAAATGTCCCCACACAAATGTGCCAATAGAAGCTTAAATAGCAGGAGCAAAACAGGCTGCTGTCCTGGCACTAACAGTCAATTCTTGACAATTGGGAGAGAGAAAGGGAGCAGGATCGTTGCATGATCATTGTACTTAAGAGACATTGTAGAATTACAAGGAGGAAATGGGACCCTCTTCTAGTGCTAGTTGATGTATAAATGTCCAATTCTATGATGTGTGAGTGGAAAAAAAATGGTGTACTGGGCAATTTCCAGCAAGTATGCCAGATTGTGAATTTTGCACTTTTGCCAATTTTGCTGCAGAAGCAATAACATTTTGCTGTGAGGTGACCCAGATAGCTTGGAATGGCAGTGTCTTAAATTTGTGTGTCAAGGCTTTTCTGTTAGAGCCTTAAACTTGTAAGAAGTTAAAAAGTATATATATAAAAAAAAGACAACTATTAACTGCTTACAGATATAAGGACAAATAAAAAAAGACAACTATTCTTTTACTTTTTTTTCCCTAGACATGCCCTTATTATTTAGTTTATATTCTGGAGCCTAAAAATCTGTGTATGTTTTTCTTTGTCAAAAATATTCATGAGCTGTATGATAACCTAAAAGCTAGTATTTCATACCCAGAAGTATTTCATAAAGAAATTTTTAGCTGTTGAATTCTAACTTTTCATATCTGAATCCTACATTAACTCTTACTTCTGTTTTGGATGGTGTTAGTTCTGAGTATTTTTCTCCTAGTTAGGAGAACTAGTTCTGTGACTTCTTTATGTTTTAATATTTGAATTATTTATGGTGTTCAACAAGATGCTAGATTGTTTTGGTAAATGTTATTATTGCATATTTAAACAGGTGAACATGATAAAAGATGATGGAACAGTTATTCACTTCAACAACCCCAAGGTTCAGGCTTCCCTCTCTGCTAACACTTTCGCAATTACTGGGCATGCAGAGGCTAAACCGATCACAGAAATGCTTCCAGGCATCTTAAGCCAGCTTGGTGCTGACAGTTTAACAAGTCTCAGAAAGTTAGCTGAACAATTCCCAAGACAAGGTAGGTTGTTCTGGAATCCTTCTTCTTCTTTTTTTTTTTTTTTTTTTTTTTTAAAGTTACCATGTTTAAGTTAAAACTTTATTACCATGTGTGTGATTTAGAAGTAATAAGTAATCAAATAATATTTACTTCATTTGTTACCGTTGCAGAATTATTGTGGGAACCCTATCCCCCCCCCCCCCTTTCTTTTTTTCAAGATTCTGTATAGGTAGGTTGTGTTACTGTATCAGATATAAAAATATTAATTACTTTTGATAAATTGAACATGCTTGATATCTATATCTACTGTATTCACCCTGCATTTTTGAATGTGCAGTTTATTTTTTATTCAAAATGCCTGAAGAAAAAAGTTCTCTTTATTAAGCTGACATGAATTCTGCATGAAATATTCAGGAATTGGTGCAGAGCTACAAAAATGAAGTTCTAGTGCACACAAGGATATTGCAGGAAATTAATAAAGAGATACTGACCTCTGGAAAAAATAATTTCAGTATTGATCATGGAGGTATTTGAGTGGGTGTTAATTAAAAGGAAGGTTAATATGACAAAATATTGAAGAATGTAAGAGTAAAAGTTTTATCAAGAAAGACTCATTGTGTGTGTGTTTTTTTTTTAATCAAGGAATTGTTTATTTGTTCATGCAAAATGTGCTTCTGCTGTGAATATAGAGGAAGGAACATAGTCTTTGTCTTCTGCTCTATATTTCCTTTGGAGCAAAACCACAATTTCTTTCAAAAACGTTTTCAAAATCAAGCACATTTTAATATTCTTTGCTGCTCCTTGTAAAGTCACAGGAGCAGGGATGTATTGGTAAAACTTTTATTATAATTTTTGTCACAGTGTGATAAAGAATAGCAATTAAGTATGGACCTGGGAAGGAATCATTCCTTGATTATCTTCTCCTTGGTGAACCACTGTAGAGTTGTTTGAGGAGGTGTGAACTAGTTTTCACTAAGCAACTTTGTAATTGAGGAATAGGTGGGACTTATTCTTGGGGGTATGTGTCATGAAATGAGACCACAAGAAGGATTTTAAAGTATGCAAGTAATATCAGCTTTGCTCCTTGTTTGTAAAAGCCTAGTGAGGTGCAGAACGGTATACTTTTCTTTACAAGTGTTAGTATCAGAGTTCATCTTTTGTGTTACTCCTGCTGGAAACTAGTTGAGATCTTCCAAACCCACCTGGATGCCACCCTGTGCCACGTGCTCTAGGTGTCCCTGCTGGAGCAGGGGGTTGGACTAGATGATCTCTAGATGTCCCGTCCAACCTCAAACATTCTGTGAATATTGGGGTTATTCTCTGTCACTTGTTATCCCCGTGTTTTGTGAGAAAAGGCTGTGTTAACATGTCCACTTAGATCTGAGAATGCTCACAAATGTACTTTCTGCTCGTGCTTATTACTGAGCATTGGTTTACACACATCATTTGTGTGTTTGCTGCCATCAGAAAAGAAAATGCTTTCTATTCTAATGCATATATTTTGGCTTTTATTGTGTGGTTGTCTCTAATTCTGTATAAGGAGGACTCAGCATCAGTTTTCTTTTATAGTTTTGGATAGTAAAGCACCAAAATCCGAAGACATTGATGAAGAAGACGATGATGTCCCAGGTAGGCACATAGGTTTATATGCCTGTGAATTGTATATATACTTTAATTCATGCAGTTTTGGCTCTTGATATATTTCTCACTTGCTAAAAGAAACTTTGTATGCTGAGTAGTGTTAGAACGGCAACAATTTTGGATTCCAGCTTTTGAAAATAGTTTGACTTGGGCAAATTGTTTAACTTCTCAGGTAAAAGTATTTCCCGAGAGGTTGAGTGGATAACATCTGTATAGAGATGTATGGTACAAAATGAAATATTTGTAAAATGGCTCAATAGTTATCAGTCTTTTTTAAATCTGAGCTTGGGGCAAGGATGTTTATTTCTGAATTAGAAAAAAAACACTATTTTTTGAGGCACAAATTTGCTAACTGTTACTAACCACATTATTCTGTATGCGTTAGAATAGTGTATTAGTCAAAGCAACAAACAGTTGATCTAGAAATTCAGTTTCGTTCGCTTTGAAATTGGTGTATGATTTTGCATAAAAATGTGCAAGTCTGTTCAAAATTTTCTTGAAATGTAACAGTTAGTGGGAGTCTAACTGTTGGCTCAAGTCTCAAGCAAGTAGAACACATTTGAGAATCGGATCTTAATTATTCCATATTAAAACTTCCACTCTTACGAGCGTTATTGCATTTCTAGTCCTTTCTGTATGTTCAAACGTGCTTTTCTAAAGCCCCTTAAAATCTCCCAGAGGAAACTCTATGTAAGTAGAGTTAAGAATGACTTCAGCTTTCCCATAATATGTGCATTTTCATTAAGCATATGAAGACAGTGTTATTGGGCATTACTGTATTTATATCTTCATCTTTTTCAGATCTCGTAGAAAACTTTGATGAAGCATCAAAGAATGAAGCTAACTAAATCATTAATAGTTCTGGAAGCTGGCATGGACTAGATTTAAGAAATCAGCTATGTGGTTCCAAAGTTTTAAAGAAACGGAGAACATCATCTGTTAATAGTTCAGTAATATAAATATTTTGTATTTTTATGATGCTGTTTGTTCAGCATTTTCTGTCAGTTAATTTTGCATTTTGCACTTACTCCCAGGATCTACTCTTTTGGTCAAAAAGAAATGTCAGTGCAGTTTGAGGGGTGTGTGCATGTGCGTGTGTGTATGTGTGTGGGTGTACATATAGTGGAGAACAAATTGGAGAACAGTTTTATTTAACCTTTTCCCTTTTTCCTTTGGAAGTAGAAATAAAATGAATCTTGAAATTGTTACTTTTGATTTTCACCAAATAGTGCACATGAAAGTAATGAAGACAAAAGTTTTGTCTGCATTTCCTAGACTTACATCATTAAAACTTGGGTTTAATTTGCTGTTAACTATTGTACTTAAATGTTTCTCATGCTTGTTGAAATGTACACATGTTGTTTGTTATCAACCTTATGTTGATCCCAGGTGATAACGAAGACAAGCTGTCTTAACAGCTTGTTTGGTGCAGTAACTTTTTTGCCAAAAAAAAAAAAAAAAAAAAAACCCTGACACTTGGATGCTAGATAAGTGTGCTTTTTTTCCTCATTTCTAAACTTCCTTTTCTCATCTAACCTTTTGAGTCAAGCTAATGTATTTGACTCCTACCACATAGACTTAGCAGTTTGTTCTCCTGTTGATTATGCAGAGTATTTCCCATGTCAAAAGGAAAAAAAAAAATAAACCCTTCAATTCTCTACCATCAAGTTGCTTCCTGTACATGAAAGGGTAGCAGTTCAGTGCACTAGTTTTGCACCGTAACAGATTTTTGCTTGAATAACTTCAAGCTGTTCTCTTGGCATGACTGCATTTACTAGCAGCTGATGATCCACTGTTGTTCTTTATGGCACTAGAAATTAAATGCACCATGTGAGCAATGTAAATTTAAGAGGGGAGGAATAAGTTGTTGACATTTTGCCTTGTGTTCTGCTAGGCAGTTTGTGCAATGACTAGCTCTAAAGGGATGTTTTTTTGCCTGTATTTTACCTTTGCCTGTAACCTACCTCTAGGTTTGGTGTCATCTATGTAGTAGCTAATTAAAATCGCAAATGCTCCTCGGGCATAAAGAGAATATTGGTAGGTACGATTGGTACAGTGCAGTGTTTATGACCTTCCTCTAAAATGCTTAATGTGAATCCTTTTTTTCAGAGGCTCTTTGAAGGCCCTTGATGTAATGAGCGTTATTACAGTATAGCAAGACATCATTGTAACCTGTGTTGGGGCAGCTGTGGCTTGGGAAAGCCATTTTTTTCCTCTGCACCTGTCATGTAACTCTGGCTTAATTGAAACATATCAGCTTTTTATGTAGCTTCATTCACTAGAGAACTGTAAAGTACAAGGTAAGCAGTACGTGAGTTCTGGTAACATCAACGAACCAGGAAGGCAGAGCTGTAGTGGTTTGTCAGCTGGACAATTTATTTTGTAGGTTTTGTTCATTTTTTCCTGTTATATTTTATATACTACATGGAACTTACTACAAAATAAAGTAACAGTACAAAAGAGGAATCGCTCCCTCTTGTGTGTTGTCCCCCTTCCCTTCAGCGGCAGCTGAGGAGCAACAGGCGGCTGCAGCTGCTGTTTTAAATGGGAATGTGGCCTCAGATGGTTACCCCGCGAGAGACGTGGGCTTAGGGAGGGTCCTCGGAGCCTCAGCACTTGCACTGCCCTATGCCCACTGTCCTCTTCCCTGCAGCACCGAGTGAAGCCTTGGTCTGTTGTGTGGCTAACCTGGAATCAGCTGCAGCTTCACTTGTCCCAGCTGTAAGGAAGAGATGGTTCCTTCATGTGCTCATGGGCTGATGGAATTGCCTTCTGACTGCTGGCTCTGTAAGCCACTGAAGGGCCTAGACAATGGGAAATTCCTTTTTCACTTGCTTAAGGGGTATAAGCAGAGAGCTTTGCAAAATAGCACCTGTGTTGATTTTTGTATGAGATCCCCCTCCCCACCTGGTGCTAATCAAATACTGAAAAATCATTGGTTTCTGATGCAGGAAGTATATTGAAAGTAATTTTGTGGGAGATTAAACATTGGAAATAACTCAAGTTAGTTAAAAGTTCCTCATTGCATTTTTGCCCCGGTCACGATAATTTACATGTTAATCCCTCTTTCCTATGTTTGAAAACAGTAAACTATCTAAATATGCTAGCTGTGTAGTTATGTTCCATTTTTTCATTGTATTTGAAAAGTCAACTTGAGTTGCTGCTGAAATGCTAGAGCTTATCAATCATTAAACTGATTTTAATTAAAATTAATGCATCAAGGTCCTTGTGGGAATAGCATTTTTCTTTGTATTTATTCGTATTGTAAGTGGATAAGTATTTGCGCATGCTAATAGAAGTACAAAGTTAATAGGGATAGTTACTAGGAGGTGTTTCTATAGTAAAAACTCCCCTTGTCAAGATGGACAGGTAAAATATTTTTATCTTGGCTTAGAGTATGGTATTTACTGTATTTCTGAACTCCTTGAGCTTATTTGCTCCCTACTGAACGCTGTCAATGTATTAAAGATACTAGACATGCTCTTTGTAATGCTTTGAAAAAAAAAAAAGTATTGGGCAAATAGAGCAGAATGTAGGGGAAACATCCCCTTGGGCTGCATGTGAAAGAATAAGCTGAACCAGGGATGATTGAAGGAACAGACAAAAAAAATAGGATGAAACATGAACTGCCTGTGAAGTCATACTGAAATTTGCTGATAATTTGTTGACAACTTGCTACTATTTGTCAACTTTCCATGGGAACTAGTAGTTGCTAGTGAAAATTCTGGCAGAAGGGATTTCAAAATAATCCATCTTGGATTCAGTTGGTACAAAATGAAGGCGGGAGGTCTTACGGTTGATTTGCTTATTAGGTTATTGATCTGTGTCTTGCTGTTAACGGCAAGGACCTGAGCAAGTTACCTGTTATGACACAGGTAGACTTGTGGATTGATTTACAGTAGAGATGAGTTCAAGATTTTTCAGCATTTTCCTGGGGCCAGGGGGCACCACCCTGGGTATTGATGAGGGCTGGAGGACCTGAGCCAACTAAGCCCCTGTGCGGAAAATCTCGCTGTCAAGAACTGAATGTCCAAAAAGGAGACAGAGGAGTCCTAAAACTTTATTCGAATAAAGGGAGACACCCCACAGGGATATGCCCAGTAGACTCTCCCGGAGATTTTCCGCACACCCCTCTAGGTGAAGCTGAATGAATGATTTGTTCCACTGGCCTCTAAGGTTAGTCCCTTTCTAACATTAAGAAATTATGTTTGCTCTGCAAGTGGAACAGACTCCTTTCTCTAAGGATTGGAATTCACCTGTGCTCTGTGCTCAAGCCAATGAGGTAATGCCGAAGGGAAGCACATCATGTAGCACTAGTAGCTGTATAGAGATGACGCTAGATGTAAAGGGAATAATTAACTCTTTGCTTTCCTGTCAAATAATTTTTTGTTGTTATTTTTCTTCACCCTTTTCAAAGACAAGTTTGCAGATATAGAAGAACTTCATGGATTCATTCAGAAACATGAGGGCAGCAGTGCCAATCAAGAGTGAGATAGCCAAGCAGAACAAGTGAAGAGAGTTAATTCTATACTGGTCTTGCTGGTACGTTTGAGTGGAAGCATGGGTCTCTGTCTAGAGTAGCATAGTGGGGTTTGGGAACTGGACTGCCTATTTGGCAAGAAAAGCTTAGATCTTCCAGTGCCTTGGTTTGTCTGTATTTCAGGGGTACTGCTCTGTCATACAAGCACGTGGCATGTAAGCTAATGAATGTGAAACCTGTGTAGTTCCTGAGAAGAGTGCTACATCTGTGCAAATGTTATGAAAAACTGCTCTACTTGCACATGATATTAAATGTGGGCTGTCAGTCCTGTTAAATGTTTTCTTGTTGAACAACAGGCCTGTAGCTTGCTGAAATGTGTATTTCCTGGCAACCTGTTGATTGTCAGATTCTGGTATATTAGGCAGTATTTCATTGAACTATGTATTGCAGATAAATTTCATAATTATGTAGCCTGCTTGGAGCAAAAGGAGATTATCTGTTCATTTGAGTTCTCGAAGCTTTTGTTAAAGGTATCAATGCTAAGGCAATTTTTCTCGCTCTCTATATATATACACACACACGTATCTTGTGTATGTGCATATAAGCACACCAAGGACGTTCTGGACTTTCAGCAGACATTCAACTGAACAGTGGTTACAAGATCTCTTCCCCTTTATTCCAACAACCCTGTGGCAGCTATAACAATTGCTTATGTCAGAAAGTTGCACTAGAAAATATTTAATGTATTTTTAGCTTCTGTTTAATGCAACCTAGCAGCTAACAGAAAGAAGAGCAAGTGCCACGTGACCAGCTTTCTGCAGACATTGGAAAAATGTTGTACAAGCTGCATTTTTAGAGCATCAGATCTGATTTTGAAAGCATCTGTGAAGCTGGAAATTTCCAAGCAATGCAAATTATTGACAGATATAGGTAAGTGAAGACTTGAAATGTTAGCAAATTGTCCGGGATACCAAGCCTTTGAATACTAAAGGTGAAGCTTTGTGAAAAGCCTAATGCAACCTGAGGCTTTCTTGCCACCAGACAGAGGTCCTTCCCTAGCTCTCTAAGTGCCAGCACTAGCAGTTGTGTAAGGCAGACTAAATTGCCTTGCTTATCTGGGTATAAATTAATTTTGGAGGGTAAGATTAGTTTCAAAATTGCTTCTAACTCACTGCACCGTTAATGCTGGTCTCACAGCTGTGCATGGCAGTGCCGGCAGTCGCTGACAGTTTGACCCTTCCTCTCCCTGCCAGCTCTGTGTGTTGGATTAACCAACATGTGTGTTGGATTAACCAGTATGGGAAATTGTATCCTGAGTCTTGGTAGTGCTGTTTGAGCCTCTAGGTTCAACAGTTGGTTCTGCGTGAGCAAATGCCTCCAGAGGCAGCTGTAGGCTTGGGGACTCTTGTTGGCTGTCATTGCCTTTCCATTTTGACAGCTGGTTGATTTTCACTGTGAAATGAGTTGTAATTTGTCTTGGGAAGGAAAATGTTCACACTGCAACCAATGTTTTGGTGGGGAGCATGCTTGGCAAAGATGACATTGAGCAGACAGGCCTTGCAGCCTGATCTAGCCTTTTAACCCTGCTTTTACTGCATGCTCTGCATCTGAGGCTCATCTTAGCAAGATGATACAAGGAAACTTGCAGTGCTGCTGCCAGGGTCACACTGAGTTTGGGACGAACGGAAGGATTTTTCATATCGGTGCGTTGGGCAACGAATTTGGTCATATATGATAACCTCTGGCTTGTTTTTAAACAATGAAATGTGAAATAAGGATTCAGTGCAGGCAAACTTGCGAGGCAGAGGCACTGCCTGCAACATGAGCTGAAAAAGTGAACACGAGTAGTCCCAGTGTGGCAGTGCCTGCGACCCAGGCAGCCTGCTGCTTGGCAGTTGTACAGTGCCCACCCGGAGTCTTCCTCCTCCATGACCATTTTGTGACCTCTTTTCAGACAGGCA